GCCGCCCACCAGATCCCCCAGCCACGCCAAGGTGCCCTCGCTGTGCCAGGCAGAGCTGTGGTGGGAGTGATGCAGCCCCCAGCCCCACACTCCTGCTGGCTGGGGCAGCCCAGCAGGACCTTCCCACTGGGGCTGCACTGACCAATGTGCCCTGGGGTGTCCTGCCCACATCCTGCCCAGCTGTCCCCAGCAAAGGTGTTCGCTGCTGCCCCGTCCCACCATCTGCGAGTCTGCAGGCAGGGTCGGTGCCTGCCAGGCCAGCCTGGCTCCCACGGCCACCCACCCATCCCCAGCGAGGCCAAAACACCATGGGAAGGAAGAGAAAAAACTGCAAAGTCTGTTTCCTACAAACGGGAAAAAACGCTGCGTTACACGGGGCACAGCCAAAACCAACAGGCCTTGGCAGCCCAGCACAGCTGCGGGCCAGGGAGCCCAGACAGCTCCTGCAGGATGTGGGATGAGGACAGACAGGCAGGGCAGGGGGTCTCCACAGCAGACTCTGTGCCAAGCACTCACAGCCAACTTCTGCCCATGGAGAGGGGCAACTGGAGGGGCTCATCCACCAAGGGTCCCTCCTCACTATAGGAGCACCAGCAGAGCTGCCATGGATCTGCCATGTGAGGAGGGAAGTGGGGCTGGGATCTGGCCCATGGGGTAAAGAGCGACAGACACTGCTCCATCCCCTTCTGCCCCTCTGGGAGCTCCAGGTGACCCTGCACAGGGACACAGGGCCAGGACAACTCATGGATTGTCCCATGGCAGGATACTGCTCCTCAGCTCCAAGGGACATAGTCCCCATCACAACCTCTGGGATGGGGAAGGGGGGTCTGGATGCCACACTCTGCTCACAGGGCAGCCCCAGGATCCATGCTGACAGGTCCCCATGCTCAGCTCCAGGGACCAGCTCCATTCCCACTGTCAAAGCTGCGGTGTGACCTGCTCAGCTCTGGGGCTGAGCTCCCACCTCCAGCTCCACTTCCAGAGCCCAGCCTGACCTGCCTGCCACAGAAGCAGGTGCCCTGAGGGCTCTCTCCTGCTTCCTCCAGGCAGTGCAGGCAGAGCCACCAGCAGCAGCCCGGGGAAGGGGCAGCACAGTGGTCACCATCCACCAGGAGCTTCCCAGCAGCTGGGACCCAAGGGCTGATGCTGCCCTGTGGTCCAGGGACATGCTGCAGCCAGGGCAGGGTGGGTGATGAATCCCTGCGAAATGCCACATGTCACCATGTGCAGTGCCACCAACTGTAGTGGACAGCAGGGATGTGACCCGCTGGTACCCGGCTGTGGCAGCTCACACCCTAGGATGTGCTCCATGAACACCCATCCCTGGGCCGTCCCGCCACAGGGTCCCTGCTGAGCACCTCACCCTGCTCCCAGCCCTGCAGCCCCAACTCTTGCCAAGTGAGCGTTCGGCAGAAGCTGGAGCTGCTGGGGGACACCGCTGGCTGTGGCACCCGCCGTGCGCCCCTCGGCCGGCCTTACCTGGGGGATGGAGACTCTCCTGGATGGCCTCGACGTCGGCCAGGTCGGTGCAGACCCCCTGGCCGTGCATGAGGGTGTGGAGGGGCCGGGGCACGCCGCGGGG